TTTTTTACGGTAACCATGAATGGTGGTCGAGTAGTTTATGCTGTGCAGGCTCGACAACCCTCACTCCGCGCAAGGGGGATGATCGCACCACGTTGTGTTCAATTGGTCAAGCACCCTCGAGGTAGTTTCACAATGCTAACAACTGTCGCTGGAGGTGAACGCACCAGAAAATAAATCACGTCGTACGCAGCTGTCATCCGTACGCAAGGAAGTAAGCACAAGATGCCGAACACCCTTAGCAGGATGCAGCGCACCCTTCATGCGACTCGCCGAATATCTCACGGCGCTTCGCGCTTGGTGATGTGAGAGCCTGGTCCGGTGAGAACCCGGCGTGCTCCGTCCCGGCTTTGTAGGGATGCGAGGTCAATGGTCTAACGACTACGGCATGCACAACTATGAGTACACCCCCTGAGTACATCCCCCCACCCCCTCTTCCCTTTCGTCCTCCCCCCAAGAGTCATCGGGGTTGGGGTTTAGTCGCTTTGACAACGACGTTGTAAAACACGCCGATCGCTTTGTGAGCTCAACCACCAGGTTACCGTTTTTGTTTTACCTGTGTTTTTTTCTTACGGCAACCATGGTGGTCTAGTAGCTTTTGCTGTGCGGGGTCGAGCACCTTCGCTCGTCGCAAAGGGGATGATCGCACCACGTTGTGTTAAATTGGTCAAGCACCCTCGAGGCAGTTACACAGTGCTCATAACTGTCTCCGGAAGTGAAAGCACCAGAAAACACGTGAGTCGTTCGCAGCTGTCAGTCGTATGCAAGGAAGTAAGCACCAGATGCCGAACATCCTGAGCAGGATGCAACGCACCTCAATGCGACTCATTGAATACCTCATGGCGCTTCGCGCTTGGTGATGTGAGAGTCGGGTCCGGTGAGAACCCCGCGTGCTCCGTCCCGGCTTTGAAGGGATGCGAAGTCAATGGTCTAAGGACCATGGCATGCATGACTGAACATGAGTCTTCCCCCTCTCTTCCCTCTTCCCTTAAACTATTGCAGGCATCACCGCCCCGCCCTCTGCTCCTCAGACACTGAGTAATCAGCAGCAGTAGCAGCAGTAGAACCCCCCCCTTTCTTCTCTAACGTGACATTCCTTGTGGGCTTCAACCCCCCCCCCTTTCTCACCTTGGTTTTTCTCGTGGGCGCCCTCTTATGCTTGCCAAGGGTTACTCTGAGGTAAGGGTCTACGGTGGGCGTCTTGTTGGACAGAGCGCTCTTCTTGACGTCCCCACCTTCAATACACCTGCGTGCGCAGCGCACAATTTTGTGCAAGCACCCATCGCATCGCGATTTAGATAGTTGTTCGAATGTTCTCATTGCTGTGGAGTGGCTCAACATGGTGAAACTTTTCATGTTCTGCACTATTGGTCCTTGGGGGCGGAGGGAGAAGGGATCGGCGAACGCTTGTTTCTTTGTCACAATTTTGCAACCGTTGGCAACGTAGCCCCCTTTCGAGACAAGGAATTGTTTCCAATCTCACGGGAGGCACCAACCATCTCCCCTGACCACGTTGTACCTATGGGCATCTTGTTCGTCTTGTCTCCTTCGGTTCAGCTTGTTGCGATCGTCTACCCTTCATGTCGAGCTTCCCAACCTTGTAGATGTACCTTCCATCTGCTCGCCTGATTTCCTCGACGACGTCCCAACCCTTGCTACATTTTCACATTTACCATGTAAGCTCTATTCTGATGCGGCATGGGCATTTCCTTCAGAGTTTATCTGTGCCCTATCTAGCGAATCCAAGCCCCCTAGCCGAAAGGCCGGATAATTTCTTCAAGTCCATCGGCCCACCTACGTCTCGTGTGTGATCGTTGCACATGGCAGTTTTCCATTTCTCCATGAACATGGTCTTCTGCGGGCTGGTTTGTGCAAAATTCAAGCTTTCCATATTTTGATATTTCGATGTAGTCTTAACCTCACGACGGGCATGACCTCGTGCTTTCGGGGTTTGTGCAAAATTAAAGCTTTCTATTCCAACGTAGCCACCATTTACCTCACGATGAACCTGCCCCGTCTCAACACCTCCAGGTCCTTCGCCGCCACTCCGCCCTCGCTTGCGTCGTCTTCGTCGATCCCGACGATTTGGCCTAAAATAGAAAAAGGTTTTGCTACATGAAAAAAAAACATTCGTGCCGTTCTTGGTGGTGCTGGTTGGACTGAAAAAGAAGAGCGAATATTGAAACTTGTTACTGGCTACGTTCGAAACAAAGAACCCTGAGTACACCAATTACGGAGTTGCGGGAAGTGTAGAGTGGGTAGACTTTATCACGGCGTCTCAACCGTTGTGACAACGATGCTCGGAAGGCCACGACCGAACAACCACGGTTGGGGGAAGATAGTCTAAGTAATAACGATCAGCTCGGTGCAGATCTACAGTTCGTCAAAACAAGAGTGCGGGGTAGCATGATGCTCCATTCTCCTATGTACCGGCGTATATTCCATTTGAATGGCGGCGCCTTTGCGCCTTCTTGGTCTCAATGTAGCCACAATAGAAACTACTGTACTCTTACACGCCGGTACTGCTGTTGCATCCCGCGTGAAGGTGTTCGATTTTTTCAGCATACAAGCCGGTTCGACAATCTCGATAACGCACTGCAACATTCCGTACGGCACCTTCGGCGAGGGCATCCTCCTCGTCGTCATCATCGTCGTCGCTGAGGCCATCAGGTGGTGGCAGTCCCTCCGGTGGCGGCGGAACATTCTCCTCTTCCGCCTCGAGCTCGTTCTCGTCCGGAACGATGATTTGCTGCTATGCAACAGAACAACGGCCGCCTTCAGCTGTGATCTGTATTCTTGCGAACTCAACTCGAATGGAAACTCAAATTCTACGAAGCACTCCTCTCCTTTTGTTTGGGTTGCGTTTTGGTTTCAACGTTGTTGTGTAGAATAGATCGAGGTGATGCATAAAGTAGAGTGCACACGCACACGCACACTCCAGTTAAATATGTTGCTCTTGTTGTAGTCGTTGTCCCCACGACCCGTGTCATTTCTGAGGCCACAACCTCAACGAAGTGCGGCCATCACGCTTAGAGCTTTGTGTCGAGGCTTTTCCCAGCAAGCCGTTGAACATAACAGACAACCACCAAGTAACACTCGTCCTCTAAAAATTCTTGTGTGTGGTTTTGTAAGATTGACGCACTCTCGTTGGTTGGTGTGTTAGCGTGGTCGATGCTACCTAGAGAATTTTCACCCACGCATTCAGGGAACCCCGGCGGTACGAAAAATTGATCATGTTTGCTCCCCCTAGCTGAGACTTACACATGTTCGGGCTTGAACTTCCAAGCTCGTTAGCATCTGTAGCAAAACCCTCTGCCACAATCGCTTTTTCTCAGTACCACCCCTGTCAACGCTGTCAAGAGCAAACGATGAAGACGAAACGCACACGCCGCATCGTCACCTCTTCGCCTTTGGGGGCCAAGAGGGCAACGTCTTCCACCGATGGCGGGGCCGGCCTCGCAGAAGGCGGCGCAATCGTGGGGGGGCGCCTGCCCGGCGGTGCCCCCGGAGGCGGCCGACGCCTCCCTGGGTCTCCGGGTGGCGATGCCGCCCTTGCTCTCGTGCGGGACGCCGTTGGAGAATCCTGGGAGGGAAATGCGGCGTGGATGTAGCAACAGACGGAGAGAAAGTTAGGCGCGAGATACAACACCGTGTCGAACCATGGCATGTGTGGAACAGGCGGGATTTTCTTCTTGTTTCTCGCTCTTTCTTTTTTGGATGAACACATGCGCTACCACCGCCACCACCGTCACTACCATGACCACCACCACAATTATGTACCAACGAACAACAAATTCAACAACAAGGGATGGCCGTATACACCACCACAATTATGTACCAACGAAAACAATGACAGCAGCAACAACAATAGAAGAGGATGGCCAACGTCTTTGCCGACGACACTCACAGTACGTAACAACAATGGACGGCACTGCTTGCCTTTTTGTCTTCCCCTTCTCCTGGTTGTTCTGCCGTGATGCCTCCCGTGTTCGGGCCATCCTCGGTGTCGACATCCATGGCATTTGTGGCCTCTTGGCCACTGCCGGTGCCTGTGCTTGGGGGCTGGGCTTTTGGCGGGACCATTCCATGCGGTACACCAGGTGGAGCCTGCAACATTCGGTTGTTACGAACAATCGACTATGATGTAAGAAACCACAAAACTTCGAATGACTCTTCAGCCCATACCACCCCCAACTCATATTTACGGCAATGAAGTGTCCATTGTTCCATATCTTCGGCAATGGAGTGTCCATTGGTTCTTCATGCTTGTGCGGATTACTTTTTCTTTTTCGGTCACCCGTTCAAAATTAACCTTCGCCCGCAGTCTCTACCTACGGTGCGCCATTGTTTCTCCTGTTAGTGGACATTTTCGACCCGACGTCCAACAAAAAAAAATTCTCTGAGGCGGTCGCCTTCGGCGGTCGCCTTCGTCGTTGCTTCCGCCACGAGGAGGGCATACCAGGTGTTCACCCTTCAAGCGCTTTGAAGCACGAAACATATTTGATAAAATGGCGAACTTCGTTCTCGAACTGGCAAACCAAGTCACTAGGATGGTTTTGAGAATGCCGACTACTAGACCACTGGTGCGACGGGCGTGCCAAACGGTTTGCGGTTTTCCCAAAGTATGAACTCCTGCGGCGCAGAGAATACGCGGCGTGTTGAGTGTACACAACATCATACGAAGGAATCACTGGCGGGGGGCTCATTCGACTCGAAGTCCGACACTCCATGTTAGATATACTCGCAGCAGTATCTGGTCGTGAGGATCCCAGGGGATACGTGTTGGGAATTTCGTGTGTAGTAGGGTACCACCTGTGCAGTCACGGGGATCCTTTTGGCGTGGTTGGTGCGATGGAGCTTGCGTGCGTGCTGCGCACTTCTTCCCTCTCTCTCTCCACCACCTCCACCACCGTCTCTCTCCAATCAAGTTTCCTTCTCCCACTCTCGCTCCAACTCTCTCTCAACCTCTCTCTCTCGGTCTAACACGGTCGACTACCCAGTGCCCCAAGTAACGCCCAGAACGTGCTTGCTGCATCCCGCGTAGTTTACCTTTCACACTAGTGCGATATCACGGTATCTGCGCGCGGGCGTAGCCTTCCGGGGGTTGTGCAGCCACGCGCAATCGGTAGACTCCCAAAACAACATAAATCATGGAGGGCATCGACCTCTCCGCCCTTAGCGGGGAAGAGCTACAGCAACTAGTGGAGAACGCAATTAACGCTAAGTGGGTATTCGATTGGAAGGCAGATGAGTTTGGATGGCCCACTAAGGTTAAGTCGAGACTTGTAGCGAGAGGTGATATGCAGAGAGAGTACATTGACTTTGGAGAGTTGTACGCGCCTACCGTTTCTGTTTCATGTGTTNCATTGACTTTGGAGAGTTGTACGTGCCTACCGTTTCTGTTTCATGTGTGGGGATGTTGGCTGCTTTGGCGTGCGAGTTGAACCTCGACTTGTGTCATTTCGATGTTGAGCAAGCTTTTGTGCGTTCGGAGTTGGAGGAAGACGTGTACATGCGTTTGCCGCAGGGATGTGGAGCTCTATCTGGAATGATTGTAAAACTAGGCAAGAGTCTGTATGGCTTGAGACAGGCATCTAGGCAGTGGCATGCAATGCTGAAGAGGTGTTTGGTGGCGTTAGGTTTTGAGCAGTGCATGGCCGATGCTTGTGTGTTTCGTTTGATTGAGGATGGATGTGTTGTTTTGATTTTGGTAGTACATGTCGATGACATTTTTGCTGTTGGAGAGAGGGAGAGATGTGATAAGTTTGGCGCCGACCTTAACAAGTCCGTGCCAGTGAAGAACCTGGTACTGCGTAGTTTACCTTTCACTCCACCATATCTGATCAGCGTTAAAGTTCAGCATCGAGAAAGAACAAAGCTAAAATACGAACATGATTCGTCGTGACTGAGGACGATACCAACGAATGGGGGCGACTTTTGATCGAGTGGCTTCGGTGGGAGATGAAAGCATCAAGCGACCAAAATTGATGAACGGCCGTGGTTAGGTGACTAAGGAAGCGCGAACAGCGGAGTATCCCTTGGATGACTATCCTCGCTCGATGTCTGACGTTTTGAAGAGGTAACGCTCCTCGTCATGGCGGCGATAAACGCACTACACATTGGCGCCGAGAGCCTTCCGTAAACTGTTCTTCAGTTGGACAATCCCCGGCGCGGAGAAAACGCGAAGGAACTGGAGCTGGTCTTCTCGGAAACAGATGGTACTATTTCTTTTTATTTTCAGGTGTGTTACTTGCGCCTTACTTTGCGCTCGGTGCCGACAACACCTTCCATGTAGTCGATGTGCGTATAGGTGGATGTCAATATGTTCGGTATCCTCACACCACGCTGACGACGATGGTAGCGTGTACCTCATTGTTTCAGGACGTGCCAAACGCAGGGTGCGCGTTGTGGATGGGTGGACATACCTTGGGAGAGGGAGGAGGCGTCTTTGGCCTTTTCACGGGCGGCGGGCTCGCTGCTTCTGCCCCGCGATCTCGACCACCACCAGCATCTCGTCCTCCGGGCGGCTGCCTTTCCCCCTGCTCCGCTTCTCCACCCATCCCCAGGCCCGCTGACCCTCGCTCTCCTTCTCCTCCTCCAGCGGCCGCCTGCTCTCTCCCGAGGACAACACCCTGTTGCTGTTGTTGTTGTTGTTGTTGTTGTTGTTGTTGTTGCAGCTGATCAGACGACTGCACTGGTGCTGGTGAGACTCCTGAACTTGGAGGGGCGCCAGGAGGCTTTCCTGGTGGACCTCGGGGGGGCGGACCGCGAGGGGGCGGGCCGCCCGGGGGGGGGCCACGGGGCGGTGGGCCACGAGGGGGGGGACCACGGGGCGGTGGGCCACGAGGGGGTGGGCCAACGGGAGGAGAGGTCCTACCAGAAGGCGGAGAACCTGTACGGGGACAAGTTGGGTGGGAGGGTAGGGGGCGACAGGGAGGGCCGGGGGGGGCGGGGGGTACTCATGTAATCGCATGCAGTAGTCGTCAAGACCGTCGACCTTCCATCCTTACACTGCCGGAACGGAGCGATACGCCGCGCCGGGTGAGGAGGGACGATTATTGTCATGCTGATACTGCCATTTGAGCGTTCTGACCGTTGACCGTCGCAGCGGGAGGAGAGGGGTAGGTTCTTGATACGGCGCTAGATGGCAGAAGGTTATGTTGTCTATCGACCACGACGAAGCTAATGCCGTGGGAATCGCCATCCCTTTGTCTACGTTACCCGCACGAAGATCTGATCCCGCCTCTCATCAGAAGTTTATCACTGACTTGGGGTTTTGTTGGATACAGCATCGGGGTCACCCTGTTATCTGGTTATCCTTACCCGAGGCCATTGCCTGCCTTGAGTACCTGGTGGTGGACGGCCAGGAGGTGGGCCTCGGGGGGGCGGGGAGCCAGCAGGTGATGTCGGACTGCCTGTGGGAAGGGCGTGTATCACCATCGTATGTGGGGGGCAAATATGAGCGGCAGAAAACAATCTTCGCGCAAGTGAAAAAGGCAAGCTTTCGGTAGCAGGTATCTACGATATCACAATAATCGTTCGTGTGCGCAAGGTCAGGTACTTACCCCTCAAAGTCTGAGAGGACTTGTGATTGGCCGCTCGTCTGACGGAGAAAGGAAACGAGCAAAGACAGCAACAGAGTGGGCTCCACCGCTAAGCAATTAAATAAAAAGAAGGGGAGAGCTCCTTGTCCCCGAATATTGGCGGTGTCCAACAGTTTCAGATAGCCAATGGCCAAGCGGCATTGTGCACCTGGTGGCGGCGTTGCTCGGGTAGGGCTTCCTGGAGGTTTTCCAGGTGGTGGTCTCGGCGAAGATCGACCCTCGGCTTCGCTGCCATCTTTCTTGCCATCTTGCGGCGGGGGTGGAGACGCCGGGGCTCCAATCCGGGGAGGTGGTGGTGCCTTCTTCGCCGCCGGTGCAGGAACCGGCGCAGGAGCCTTGGCCTCCGCCCTGGGGGGCGGTGCGCCTGCATTGTCTAAGACAAAACAGCACAGGGTATGTATACAGTACTCGTCGAATACCATATGAACTCCGCGAGTAACGTTGAGGTAGCTGTATTGTACTTGTGGACTTACACATGCGCCATACAAACACCCATGTTGCCTGCTGTTCGAAGTGCTCAAACTTACCCAAGCCGCAAGAGAACACTGCTTATGGAAACTGTCGGCGAGGGTATGCACAAGGGTATCAATTCCCAACCGACACGAGACCGTCATTGCTGGAGAGATAACGGCGTCATGTTCATCTTCCTTTATCGAGGCACAAGAAAGAGTGCTACTGACCGGTGTCTCGCGTTACGTTTCATCAACGGTGCCCAGACACGCTCCCTCCCTTCCCGCCCCCTGGAGGGGCACTGCAGAGTGCCACTCTTTTTTCTTTGGCCGCAAACTTCCGGGTATGTATATACTCCCGTTGATTTCACCACCAAATATCGGCCTTACTTACGGTTTCCGCCAAAGGCTCCGAAACAACGAAAATCGTTTACTGGTGAACATTACAGCTTCGTGGCAGTACCGCTCTGTCTATATCGTGAACAAAAACACGTTTCACCGAGCCATTCCGTGGTAAATATGGCATCCATGCATGCAGTCTGATGCACTGTAGTTTAGACACAATACGACGCCCGTACGATTCCGAGCCAACCAAATTTGACTCAAACAGAGTACACCGCAACGAAGTTAAGCAGAAAACTGATTCAAAAGCTGCAATCACTTACTTGGCGGTAGTTTCGAAGGCCCCAAACTCGATGACGCTGTAGCAGGTGGTGGTCCTCTCGGTGGTGCCTTAGCGGCAACAGCTGGAACGTCGGCGGAACAATGTCAAGAGGGGAGTACAAACACCAGTGGAGCATGTGGTGTCCCCAGTATCCCGCTCCTCTTTCCACAGCGAATGAGATACTGGATGCTGGATCACGCTATGATCTCATGATGGCCCTTGTTGAGATAAGCTCAGATATGGATGAATGCTGAGATTGATTCACTTTGCTAGATAGACCGTTAGACTGGACCATAGCGCACACCGAGTACCACAGCCTCCTCAACACCGAAGCGGTTCATGTATAAGGCCGGTTGCCCTGTACTTTGCCGGCGGTTTTTCCTGGCACCCAGATGGAAATACTGACATATTCAAGTTGTCTCATGCCCTGAACAAGTAGTTTCGAGTGCCGGGTATATGTAGAAGGCCTGCGAAATCCTTTTTGGTACACTACTAAGGCCCGCTAAATTTCATTGGCACACTACTATTGGCCTCATATGAGGACCACTATACTGTAGTTACCTCGTTATCCACCAATTACCCATGCTTATCCCTCTGCATGACTTCTATTGCCTACTTCATCAGCCCACCTTGTCCGGGACTCCTTGGCGGTGGACCTGGCGGTGGACCAGGCGGCTTTCCTAGAGGAGCTGCCGGGGGTGAGCCGGGAGGTTTGCCTGCCGGCCGGGGCGGAGGAGCGCCAGCGGGACGCTGCGGTAACATCCTGATAGGCTATGGCACCAGCATGGAAGGCGTGGCTAGGGTTAGAGGACACCGTTGCTGGCGTTGTACTCGCACGCGCCCTTGACCCAACCCACTGCCATACCAACGCAGGATCGAAAAGATATTGCACCGCAATTGGCAGGTTCCAGCCTATCCGGCGGAGCCCCCCTTTGGGCGCGACGGAGCAATGGTATATATATACCATATTGCGACGGAGATGCGGCGTAATCAACCAACCTCGCCAGTTGTCGTTGTGTTTGGTGCGTTCAAACAACTTGTTACGCTCTCCACGCTCTCAAGGGTGTACATCGTCAGCGCTACCTGATTCTTCTACAGCTTATTGTCCAGGAAATGCTTGCCTCGCCCAGGTAGGGACTGCTGCGCGACGGGCTTTGTTCCAAACGCCAATCTCACGCTGGCTCGGGTTGGTGTTTAGAACCTCTTTCGTCCGCATGCGGAAACATGTGATCGTTGCGGCAGCCGTCGGGCTGGTGCCCTGCTTGACAGCAGCAGCCACAAAGGTGCACCATGCCCACCCACCCACCAGTGGTGGGCCTGCTTTAGTAGACGAGCGGCTCAGCCAGCAGCAGCTCCGCCACAAAATCGAAGACGGCGTGTTGAGCGGGCTGGCCTCGGGCATGAGGGAGCATCGAGAGAGGGTTGAGAGAGGAGAGCTGCGACCGCGGCCTTTCGTAACGCTGACCTACGCTCAGAGCATTGACGGCAGTATCGCGGCTGCGGACAAGTCCCAGGTGAGTCAGTTGACTTGGAGTTTGAATGTTAGTATTGTGCGGTTGGTTTGAGGACTACACTCGCCTACGCCAGTTGTGTTGCCATCAATGGATCATTCCCTGCTTATGGGGCTGCAGTCTATGCATTGATGGGTCATTCGTAAGACTTGAACGAAGATATCTGCTGCGTCGGTTTTGCCGCAGTGGGAACACGCGCAGATCCGGCAATGGCCTGAAGTACTCGAGTAAAAAGTAGGGCGGGACAAAGAGCCGCGGTGAACAACTCAAAACCTCTTTGTAGTAGTACTATATCTGTGATGCTGTTCGAGGCACGCTCATTCCAGGCAACAGCACGCACGCTGTAAGACAAAGTTACACCATTAGACTAGTCAGCGCTGACTTGTATAGTCTAGTGGTGTAACTTTGTCTGCTGGGAAATCGTCAACCTACCGGTCTCCTTGTTCCTCTCGTAAAAGCACCAAGAATACCATTTCAACTCTCCCAGGTTCTTCACTGGCACGGACTTGTTAAGGTCGGCGCCAAACTTGTCACATCTCTCCCTCTCTCCCACAGCAAAAATGTCATCTACATGTACTACCAAAATCAAAACAACACATCCATCCTCAATCAAACGAAACACACAAGCATCGGCCATGCACTGCTCAAATCCTAACGCCACCAAACACCTCTTCAGCATTGCATGCCACTGCCTAGATGCCTGTCTTAAGCCATACAGACTCTTGCCTAGTTTTACAATCATTCCTGATAGAGCTCCACATCCCTGCGGCAAACGCATGTACACGTCTTCCTCCAACTCCGAACGCACAAAAGCTTGCTCAACATCGAAATGACATAAGTCGAGGTTCAACTCGCACGCCAAAGCAGCCAACATCCTAACACATGAAACAGAAACGGTAGGCGCGTACAACTCTCCAAAGTCAATGTACTCTCTCTGCATATCACCTCTCGCTACAAGTCTCGACTTAACCTTAGTGGGCCATCCAAACTCATCTGCCTTCCAATCGAATACCCACTTAGCGTTAATTGCGTTCTCCACTAGTTACTACTTCGCCGGAGTAAAAGTCCCCGCTTCCAACAAGCCATAAAACTCCCTTTGCATAGAGTCGCTCCAATGGTGCCGGTGCTTCGACGCCATGGCCTCTTTGTAGCTTTTGGGGACACGAAGGTCGCTGGCCTGGCAGTGAGGAAGGTCAGGGCGTTGCTCCGGCGGGCGCTGGTCTCGCAGCGTGGCGTCGATGTCTTTCCGGTTGGCGAGGAGCGTGGCAAATGCGAGTGGAAAGCCCGCTCCTCCAGCCCCCGGGTCCACAGCTGCGAGTGCTCCCGCCTGCCCTCCGGCCCTCGCTCCCCCCGGCTCTCCGGCCTCCGCCCCCCCCAGCTCCCTGCGCTCCTCGTCCA